CCCAGGTCAGAAGTTTACATACCCTCTCCACTGCAGACAAGGAGTTATTTTTCAAACTTTAAATAACTGAAGATTTTCTCAGGGTGGAATCGTTACAGCACAAATCATTCCTATAATCTGATCAGGTTAAAATCTTCGCATTCAGTCTTGTTGAATGGATTATAGTGTTTGTTCTGATGAGGTTTCTGCATCTGATTAAAGAAAACTTTTTAAAGAATAACTTTTATGCTGGTATCAAACATACTTTTTATAAAATTTGCATTTCTATTTTGAAATATTCTTAAATGTATTTTTTCATCAGCTGTAAGTGGCTCTAACCTTTTCACTGGAACTTTGTAAATTTTTATAATTAGTTATTTCTTTATTTTGTATGTTTTTATGAAGAAAATAATCCCATCTGAATAAAATAAATCATATGAAGTTATTTCAGAGAAGAAACATGCTAACCAGTTTGGCCTGCATGTGGTTTGTATTGTTGAACATTCAGCATCATTTTCTCGATTAGAAACGTGTTGCTGCATAACGAAGCAGAACTGAAACGTTCCACGGTTCCTTCTGCTCGTCCTTTTCCTCACGCGACTCGTCCTGCAGCTGCAGGAAACGCGCCGGAAGTCAGAGCTGCAGCCACAGCGCTGACAAATTTAAGACTTCCAAACTTTCATGGCGCTCCAGAAAGTTTCTGTGTAATTATCATTACTGCGTTCTGCTAGCCGGTTCTTCATAAATACAAATATTTGTGGACTAATGAGCAAAAAGAAGGAACCCTGGAGATTCTCAGTGAAACACCAAAGTGAGAGCAGAACGCTGCGGTCACATTAAACATCGTTCTGAGGACAGGAGAGTATTTTCATTCTGCTCCATGTTTGCCTCTAATGGCAATAATTTTGTGCCGTTTATTTAAATGCAGCTGAATTAGGACTGCTGAGGAAATGGACAAGGACAAAAGCAGAGAAAGAGCTGCATGAGGAAAAATCAGCAATTCTTGATCAGAATTACTAATAAACTGCATTGCTTGTTTTTTACACAAAAGCACATTAACAAGGTCCAGCAGGGAGACATTTAGCTGTGGCACATGGATAACTTCTGATAGCACAAATAATGAGGCTGATTGAGCTAATTTAACAGCAGTTGGTTATGGATGGCTAATGATCAATAATCAGTCAATAATGGTTGCATTTCCATTGGGATTTAACTTGCTGAATGATTCAAATCATTCCATATCACAGAATATTATTTTATGGATCACAAAGACTCTGTTTTCTGTTCCCCGTTTTGGTTTCCCAGTAGACCAGAGGCTTGATGAACATGTCTGATGTTTCATATTTAGCTCTGCTTGAAGCTCTGGGGGAGGAAAAACAGCATCAATAAAAGCATTTATGGAAAATGTTCTATAAATTATCATACAATCAGGAAATAAAACATCCAACAAAAACTGATCATTTGCTCTCTACATTGTGCATCAGCTTTAACAAGAATCAGTTTAGTTTAAAGCAAAGAAAATATAAAAACATTCATGTTTTCCCTTCTGAGGAGGATAAAGAGTCTGGATGTTGAAGAAGCGACACAGTTACACCTGAAACCTGGACTGAAAACCTCTGATTTCTGAACAAACATTTTCAACCAAACTGGATTTTCCACAAAAATCAGATCCACTTCAGATCCACAAAAGTGTTTTCACTAAAGGTTTTAATTAGAATCTTTCACTTAATCTAAACTACTAAATACAATCCAACATGTAAAAAGCTTTCTGAGAAAAGCTGGTGAAACCGTTCAGTTCACATCAGAGCTTGGTTTCTGTGGACGTCTCGCCTCATTAATAGCATCTCCTTGATTCTTCGACTGACTCGCCTCAGGCTGATGCGGCCAAACGGCACAATGTGGTGTTTCTGGGCTGGACAGCCTTTCCTTCCACTTGAAGCTTTTAAATGACACCAGCTGTCATTTCAAATGTTACAGCAATCAATGAGCTTCAGCTAACAAGCTCACAGAGGAGCCAGAACGCTGGGCTTCTTCACACTCCAAGCACCGAACTCTTCATTTATCACTGAAAATTCAGCTTTATGATTCAACGATTAAACCATTTTTATTTTATAAAATAATTACAGTAAATCTTTTTTCCAGCATTTCCATTCCTAAATGATTAATTATGTATTTAAATGCTATAATTCAAAAGCAAATATTGCAAAAAGCAAAAGCTCCTTTGTTTAAAACTGATGATTTTAGCCTTTTATTGTGGATCCACCGTTTGTTTCTACCTGGTCGTCTCCCGGTTGGTAAACGGCGCTGAATAATAATCCACTTGGAAACAAGCGGCGCTGTTATGAATGCATTTCTGAAGCTAATCTCTGCATTTCAATTCTGACAGTTGACTATGAGCGCGTTTAAACCCTGGGACTAAGTTTTTTTAAAGAAAGTTTCTTCATCTGAAGTGTTTTCATCTCGGCGTGGCCCACCAGGGACTGACAAAATGTTTGACAAGCGCAGCACACACAGCTGGGTGGTGCTTAGCAGTCAGCAGAATGACTGCCGGCCCCACAGGGTGTGTGATGTTGTCAGTTTAAAGCTCTCGCCTTTGGTCACACAGTGAGACTCAGTTTGACTCAGGAATAATGTGGAAATGTGTGGAAGTTTAGTTCTCAGATCCACTGCAGCTGAAATCTCATTCATCCAAAAACATTTTTCCTTTATGTTGTTCTTTCTTCCTGGTTTATCTCCAACACCGACTCTAGCCGCGTTTTCCAGTCGATGCAGCAGGTTCTGTCGGACAAAAGGTTCTGACGGACAGAAGGTTCTGTCGGACAAAAGGTTCTGACGGACAAAAGGTTCTGACAGACAAAAGGTTCTGACGGACAAAAGGTTCTGATGGACAGAAGGTTCTGACAGACAAAAGGTTCTGACGGACAAAAGGTTCTGACGGACAGAAGGTTCTGACGGACAGAAGGTTTTGACGGACAGAAGGTTTTGACGGACAAAAGGTTCTGACGGACAGAAGGTTCTGATGGACAGAAGGTTCTGACAGACAAAAGGTTCTGACGGACAAAAGGTTCTGTCGGACAAAAGGTTCTGATGGACAGAAGGTTCTGACAGACAAAAGGTTCTGACGGACAAAAGGTTCTGACGGACAGAAGGTTCTGACGGACAAAAGGTTCTGACGGACAAAAGGTTCTGACGGACAGAAGGTTCTGACGGACAAAAGGTTCTGACGGACAAAAGGTTCTGACGGACAGAAGGTTCTGACGGACAAAAGGTTCTGACGGACAAAAGGTTCTGACGGACAGAAGGTTCTGACGGACAGAAGGTTCTGACGGACAGAAGGTTCTGACGGACAAAGGTTCTGACGGACAGAAGGTTCTGACGGACAGAAGGTTCTGACGGACAGAAGGTTTTGACGGACAGAAGGTTTTGACGGACAAAAGGTTCTGACGGACAGAAGGTTCTGACGGACAGAAGGTTTTGACGGACAGAAGGTTTTGACGGACAGAAGGTTCTGACGGACAGAAGGTTCTGACGGACAGAAGGTTCTGACGGACAGAAGGTTTTGACGGACAGAAGGTTCTGACGGACAGAAGGTTTTGACGGACAGAAGGTTTTGACGGACAAAAGGTTCTGACGGACAGAAGGTTCTGACGGACAAAAGGTTCTGACGGACAGAAGGTTCTGTCGGACAAAAGGTTCTGACGGACAAAAGGTTCTGACGGACAAAAGGTTCTGACGGACAGAAGGTTCTGACGGACAGAAGGTTCTGACGGACAAAAGGTTCTGACGGACAGAAGGTTCTGACGGACAGAAGGTTCTGTCGGACAAAAGGTTCTGTCGGACAAAAGGTTCTGTCGGACAAAAGGTTCTGACGGACAGAAGGTTCTGACGGACAGAAGGTTCTGACGGACAAAAGGTTCTGACGGACAGAAGATTCTGACGGACAAAAGGTTCTGACGGACAGAAGATTCTGACATGGGGCACCATCAGAACCAGAACCATCAGAACCATCATGATGTGAAAGCAGGCCTGGCAGCATTTTGAATAACTTGGTTCTGCTCTGCATCCAGAACCAGAACCAACACAGAGAAGCAGAATTCAGCTTCTATGACCAAACTTCCAGAAAACAACAAAACAGCCGAAACGCTGAGTTCCTTTAAATCCGTATTAAAAACACACCTGCTTGTTTCCTTTGATTCCTCATAACTGGAACATTGAGTGATTATTGTCGTCATTTTAATATCTGATCATTCTTGGTGAATTTAAGAAAACATCGTGTTTCCTGTTTGCTGACCCGTTATTGATGAATTCAGTTATTTTAGCTATGAAACAGGAAGTCGTGTTCCTGCAGGTTTAAATCTGCATGCATCAGGTTGTTATGACCATAAATCTGCACTGAAAACAGACAATATATTCTGAGTGCATGAAAGTTTTTAATGTTTTAAAAACTTTCTTAGTTTGGTTTCAGCTTTGCTGATAACAGATTCTGTGGTTAAGTTTTTCTGTTTTGATGTAAAATGTTAACAATTGAGAAGAAATTGAGTCTTTGCTTTCTCTAAAACAACAAAAACAGAATATGAGGCATAACTTGCAGCATCTGAAAGAACAATAACTACATTTTGGTCCAATTCACCCAAAGGTTTGAGAATCGGTGCCAAAATGTGGAGGATGGAAGATCTGGTCTCATTTAGCAGGCAGAAAAAAATCTGATTTCATGTTCGAGTCAAACATGAATGAATGTTTTATGGTCAAATATGAATCCATCTGTCTGGTCCAAACTGCGTCACCAGCAGGTCTGCATCTGAACGTCTGAAGGAAACAAATTAAACGAACTGCTGTGATTATTTTCCAGAGGTTGATCTGCATCTGATCCATGCAGTCAGAATCAGTGATGATCTGTCTGTTCTAAAGAGAGACAGACCTGCTGGACCTCCAGATCCTCCAGAACCAGATCCTGATCCTCCTGGACCTCCAGATCCTCCTGGACCTCCAGATCCTGATCCTGTTGGACCTCCAGATCCTGATCCTGCTGGTCCTCCTGATCCTCCTGGTCCTCCTGAGAGGCATGAGATCCTGTCCACGCATGGTGGATCAGCGCCGCGGCTGCAGGGGATCTGGCTCTGCCCTGTGTACATGCCAGGGCTCATTATGTGCCTGATTTGAGCTGGTGGCTGTAATAAGCTTCGTGTCACTTGTGCTTAGATCAGAATCTCCTGCACAATTTTCAGGCCCGAAGATGCTGATCTGGAGACTTTGGAGATATTACATGATTTTGCTACAATATGCTACAAGGAATCATAACCACTTAATTTTCTCAGCAATAACTTTAAAAAGCTTCTCTGAGATTCAGATCAGCATAAAAATAATGAGATTCTTGATGAAAGGAGATGAAATGAGCAACTTTATTTGGTGCTTCTAATAAATTGTTCCACCTTTAAAGTGAACCGGCCAACCAATCACATTGCAGCTACTGGATGCACTCACACATTTCCAAGCTGCTGAAGTCCATTTGAATAAAATGATGTGATTGATGCCAGATCTGCAGGATGTTGAAAAGCTCATTCAGGCAGATCCGGGACAGACTAACACCTCCTGCTTTAATTAGGCCAGTAGCTTCTTATCGGTCGAACCTGGCTGCTCCCTGGGTCAGGAATCATCCGCAGGTTATCAGCTCTGAACTCGTCTGCCTGCCTTAAACTGGGTTTTAAAATCTCCTCTGCAGCCTGAGCCCTGGACTGTGCTGTGTTTAAATCCACATTCATCAGCGGCTAAAGGAAGTGCACTGGATTCCTGCTCTGTGCTTTCACTGTGCAGCTGTACCGGCAGCATTGACAGAAGCAGAATGGCAAACAGAGCGCTGTTTTATTAATGCTAACATGGTGACTGGGCAGAATGATCTGTGGAAAGATGCAGCCGTCAGATGAGTCTCCATTCAGCTGCTGGTCGCCGTCGTTCCTCTGAGGTCACTGCAGAGGAAAACACCTCGTCCCAAACGCTTCATCAGTTAAATCATTTAAAGCAGCAGCAGCAGCAGCAACGGGTTCCCTCCCAAGCTCTCCGTATTTAACATGCATGGCTGAACCATTGAGGTGAACAGAACCGGGCTCTCATCACTCGGAATAAAATATTATTTCAATGTAAGGAGAGAGCATAAAATAAATGATATCTGGTGGCAGAGATGAAAATGATTTTTAAAGCTCTGTCAATAAGAATGTTATGAACTTCAAACAAAGCCCTGAGGTACGCCACATTCTAGAGTAATAGTAAATCAGCCTTAACCCAAATCAAGCCTGTTAAGACAAACACAGCAGGTTATTTACACTTCAACATTTTGCATATTATGATGATGCAACCTCCAAGACAAAACTTTAATCTAACTCCTTGACTAAAACAGCTCTTAACTCAGCTGAACGTGTTGCCACCAGAGAGGCTCAGTATGCAGTAAAGGTGACAGCTAGCATCAGAACCGGTACCGGTGCCGGCCACCAAGACTCTTCCACGTTTCATTAAACTTTCTGTCAATGGAGCATGACCAACATGGCTGTGTTCATTAAAACTAACAGAATCAAATCAATGCAGCGGTAAATGTTAAACTACAGTTACTTGTAGGACAGCAGTGAGTCAGACGATGCATTTCAGCCAATTTTGTCTCGTTCTGAAAACTGATGCTACTGGAGGAAATGCAGATGATCCCTGGACAGACAGACGTCCAACTCGCTTCGGACAGCCAGCAAACCGACGCTGATTCAAACTTCATGTCATTGTATGAGGAACTAATATTTTTCATGCAGGGCTTCTTGATGTGAACCAGGTAGTTTGGTTGAATTATCTGCAGTGATCAGGCTTCCATGCGTGGACGGGATCTCATGCCGTCTGGCCAACAGGAGCTGCAGCTTGTTATGAACAGATTCAACTTCTCCCCTGAGGAACGACTGACAGCTTCTGACTGATCGGAGAGCGCCTGTGTGGACACTGTCACAACAGCCAGGATGATTTTACTAAATTGTTTTACTCCTCTGACAGCTGTGACACTTTCCAAAAGTTTGGGCCATATTTCTGAGCAGGAACAAGTTTTTTATGGTTTAAGGAGAATCAAATTATAGAGAAATAGAGCAGCTCAGAACCCAGCAGCACAGTTCAGAAAAATTAAGCTTAATTACAACTCAGATAAAAAGTTAGGCTGCTAAACTTCAACATAAAACTTTATTTTTATGAGTCAGGGTGCAAAACAATTATAGTGGTATTGAGGAGAAAAACATGACTAGACGCAAGCTGCTGAAATAAGAAAATAAACTCTTTGTATTTCCTCTATCTAGGATTTTCTTCATACAATAACAGTTATTGTCTGTAGGAAGAAGTGCTAGATATCTTGTATTGCATGCATTAATTTAAAAATAATCCTGTAAGAGGTTTTTCTGGGGAAGCTAACCAGGGTCTTAGCTTCCCCAGACCCTGTTTAGCTCCTTTGAAGGGTTGCCATGTTTCTGCAAAGTAAACTGTGAGTTTGGATTAAATATCCTGTAAGACGTCAGAAAGAAAAACATCTATTGATGTACCCAACAAGAGTTGAACAGTCTCCTGGAAGCTTCAATAAAGTACAGAGCTAATTTTGGAAAAGTACCACAAAGTTTCACAGAGATACCAAATATTAAAATATGGGAAAGTAATTGTTAAGAGTTCCAAGAAAACAGCCTGGAAAATCTGGAAAGGATGTAAGATGCAGAAAACACTCTAAGTTTGAGGAAAGTTTCCTTTGGATTGTAAAAGTCCCTGTAAATACTATGAACTAAAAACTGCACTATGCTTGTCGTCTTGATTTAGATTAAGACAAATAAAAAAATAAAATAATTTAAATTGTTTTTCTTTTTTCAGTACTTTGAAAACCGAGCTCTCATTCTCCCTTTCTTTCAATATTTAAACACGTTTAGTTTTGGAATCTAAGTAAAACTAGCATCTCCTGTAAAACATTCATCATAAAACATCAAATATGTTCCAAAAATAATTGTGAAACATAATATTGTAAGCAGTTTTTATCTCATTGGCTTTGCTACCTGAGAGCTGGTGTGCAGCTTGTACTCAGTGTTGAGCAGATGGCTAATCAAAAACAAAAGCAAACTGAAGCCTTCAAAGTTTTATTGCCAAAGATCTGCAGACTCCTGAATTTAAAAATCAACTTTGTGTAGAGTAAAACTGACCGGGTTCACGTCGGGAAGCAGCTTGTCTACACGGTGTGCTGAGACAGAACCGAGTGGGTCCAGATGTCAGAAAGATTCTCCGTCCTGCCAGTCTGCTCTGACCTGAGGAGGTCAGCAGGGGCCGAGCCGAGCCAGGCGCTCTCACGCCAACTGGGTTCCCTGTGGACACACAGCGGCGTGTTGAGGTGAGGCAGAGGGTTAGACGCAGCTGACCCCTTAAGGAGCAGAGGAAAGAGAAACAGGCCCGGTTGGAGCAGCTGTCACACATGAGGCGCCTTGTGTCTTTAATTCCTGCAGGCCAGAGCATTTTCTCTGGATTGACCCAATAAAAACCCTTATTTTATCTCTGCCTGACAATAAATCAGACTAAACTCTGTTCCAATTTATTCCTGCTTCCCAAAACGTAACTTCAGAAGTTTACATACATTTCCTTAGTAATTCCTTCAGAACTCAACCCAGTTTTGGTCAAGCTTCACTAAACTGTGTTTGTGTTGAACATTTTTCAGTTACTTCATATCTGCATGTTCAGCCTCCTGGTGGCAGAGCGGAGGCCTGGAAGTTGCCTGAAACTAACAGCGTTAATTTAATTTCCACCTCAACGACCTTGCAATCCGGCTGAGCAGAATTAACCTCATGTTTCCGTCCTTTTGCTCCTTTCACAGAAACACACCCTCAGCGTGCCGCCAACGCGCTTCCCTGGAAACAGCAGCCAACCAAGCAACCCACGCTAATCTCTGGCCAAAACGTGCAGCCAATATTTACTCTGACCTTTGACCTGAGCTCTGTGGCTGATGAATGAGGTGAGACTCCCATCTCTGGCACCGTCTGGAACGACAACCTGGCAGTAAACGTCCTTAAAAGAACATCTGTTTGATGGAAAACCAAATCCCAGAATTTGGAGAAGTGAAAAGAAGGAAGCTGATGATCGTAACGCTGTGAAAAACACCTACAGTAAAGGTGGTGAGTAAAATATGGAAGAAATGACATCAGGATGACAAATCATTTCTGAAAAGTCTGACTCTACTACTAATTTTCTACCATCCTGTTATGATGCATTTCTTCCAAATAGTGGTTTACATTAACCTCCGTGTGAGATTAATGAATTTTATCAAATGACAAAATGTATTCAGAGGGCTTTTAATTCTCTCAATCATCTTAGTTTTTTAATTTGTGCTTTCACTCAAATACTTTGTCCCTTTTTCTGAGACCTTTTGCATTTTTAACTATCAAAATAAAAGCACATGAATTAACTATTCACAGCTTTCACAACTTTAACTCTGTACAGATAAAATGTACTTTAATATTTAAACATCTTAGCTTGTAACTGTATTGTTTTACTGAATAATAGTATTGTATCCGTTACACAAAAACCTACAAAACTGAAAAAGGTGCAATGCTCCTTTAATGCTGGTCTGTTCACTAAGCTTTGCTCATCAACAGCTGTTAGTTCACAATGTGGTAACAATATGGTTTCACTGGTTTTTCAGAAAGAAACTCCATTTCACTGATAAAGACATTAAAACAGCGAAATGTACAAAATCCAGTTCAGTGAATCCAGGAGTCCTGCTGCTGTTTCTCAGCTGCTCAACAGTCTGCTAGCATTAGCATCAATTAGCCTCCAGACTTATGTCCCGTTTTCTACACAGTACTCATCACAAACTGCATCACGTGACTCACTAGTTGACTCCCGATTCAAAAACCTCTTCAGCTCCTAAAGGTCATCAACATTTATGCATCAAGATACATTTTACTGACCTGAGAGGCAGAAAACATGACACACAAACGTTGCGCTTCCATTAGCATCGAGGAAGGTTTTTTCTTCTTCTGCGTGCACAAACACCAATGCGACAGACGCCCCCCAGCGGTGGTATGTGGAATCGCGCTGAAGCTGAAATAACGCTAAAGAACGTCTTCCAATGAGAAACTAAAGATAAAGAAATAATGTTGGTGTCTGTGTTTGTTCTCAGTGTTTTCATCACTTACAGCTTGTTTGTTTTTCACCCATCCACAAAAAGATGAAGCTCATGTTGACACCTGAGCTGTGGCTCTCTGCAGCTCCTCCAGAGTTACCACCTTGTCACATAATAAACTGAACTGAACTGAGCTTTGTGAAACTTTCAAAACTTTTTAGTGATGCGCTGAGCCCTTTGCAGATATTTAAGAAAAATTAAACTTTGTGTTTTTCATTCTCTTCCCAGTTGTGCTGATCCGTCAAAATGCATTCAAGTCTGTGGTTGGACAGTAAGAAAATGTCAACAACTTGAGTGGGCATGATTATTTTTTCAACATTCATTGCAGTTTAGCATTGCATGAAGAGGGACTGATTGTTTTAGTAAAAGAAGTGCTGGGCTGAGTTTGTCCTCCACTTCAGATGAACTCCATGGTTTTTAACATCAGCCTCATGTTGTTCTGCAGCTCAGATCTTTAACTTTCTGTTCAGCAATGATTCCTCTTCCTCCCTCAGTATCTCGCCGCCTCCTCTTGATGTTGAACACAACTCTGAGTTTTCATGGCGCTGGCTCCCTCTTCATCTATTAACCAAGACAGTTCAGGAGCTTTGAACAAACATTGGAGTGCTGAGACTTCACTTCAGAGATGAAGTCAAGCAACAGCAGATGGATTTGTAGAATTGCAGATAAATAAATGTTTCTGCTAAATGTATAAACTACAAAAACAAATACTTGACAAGCTTTGAAACCAACATATTTTAGTTCTTAACAGGGATTTGACTCCAAAAAGGTTTGGGTAGAAAAGCATTCATTAAATCAATATTGAACTCCAAAGCTGCTTTTTCAGAGACATTTCATGAGATAAATCCACAAACACTTCAGAGCTGACCTTTGACCCTCTGCCCGCCCTGCGATTGATGGTTACCGATAACGACCACCTGTCCCACGCTGATGGTTTCCCGATGCTCTGATGCATCAGTTCTTATGAGCTTGAACATAACAAGCAGTCAGGAAGACAGCTGAGTTTCTTATTTACTTCCTATGATTTGTTAATGTAGGAATCTAAGACAGCTTCTGAAGCAATCTCTGATTATTTAACTTCAAACGGTGATTAATATACATAAGATTCTATTATGATTAACAGAATATGTTTCTCCTTTTGTCTGACTTTAAACAGCTTGTTAAAATGGTTTATGGTGGAGCTGCCTGAGCTTCTTTTACACACTTTACTGGAAGTTTGTTGTTGTAAAACTGGTGGCTCCCAAAGGGCAAATTAGCTTCTAATCAAACATTAATGAGAGTTTGTGTTTGGACATTAATCTGTTCTATCTCCATCAGTAGTTGTTCATGTGAAACTCTTCTCACCTTCAGATAAATACAAAGTTAGAGACGCAGAACCAGTTGAAATTAAGGTAATAGGATTGAAGAGGCTGGAGACAGAAAGAAAGAAAAGTTCAGGAATTAGAAACCTTGATTTTCATCTATTAAATCCTCTAATTTTGAGAAGCTCTCACCATAAACTAGCATAAGTTTCTGCAGAGGATGCAGAGCTCCATCCTGTTTTACTCTGCAGGGATTCAGCATCTTTTCTTTCTGCAGACACACCAACAGAGACTAGACAAGATTAGAGCTTGACCACTGATACTTCTGCTTTATGTGCCTTATTATATTTCCATATTAGGGTAAAGAAGGAAACAGAAGGAATCCTTTCAGGTGTAAATACCTTTGCACAGCACCATTTATTTAAAACATTGGTAGACATTCAGATCTTGTGAAAATAACATAAAACTTTGCTTCAGGGAGTCTGAGCAAAAGGAGATGAATAAAAATGCAGACCAAACACTACAATGTTCCACTTTTCAAAAAAAGGTGTGATTTTCCTTCCATTTTTTCACAGTCTCCAACATTTGGACAATATGAGCAGATCTGAAGTTGTCCAAAAACTGCACTTATTACCACCATTTAAAATTCACTGGGTTTCTTCTCCAGGCAGCAGTTTGCTTTACAGCCAAATCATATTTTGGAATAAAAAGCATGACTACTGTGAGTTTGACAGAAGGGAAGTTGTTTTTTCAACTGATTTGGAGGTTTTCATCCCAAATGTGTGAAAGCCTGTTTGGGCGGTGGGCCTGCTTCATGTGGGCAGCGTATCTTCCAACAACAAAACACGCAGCTATGTCACAGACAGAGGGGTTTTATGTAGCTTCAAAACAGAACATGTTCTGCCCAAAGCAGGGGAGAACCGGGCCAACGCTCTGCTGTAATAATCTTGTCTAGAAACACTGTCTGCAGCATTTGGTTTCAGCTGAGTTTTCCTGTGGATTCAGCTGCTCTTATGACGGCTTTACACTCAGATGTTTATTTATTTACTCTTCAACTTGGTCTGGGAATCAAAAAGCAGGTCTACTGGTAATACTGTGCGGTTTATAAGATCAGCATTAACATCGGATATTGATGTTGGCCACAATTTTCATGTTGGTGCATCATAAATAAATAATCTTCTGCAAGGTAGAAAATTAACCTGTAAAAATAACAGCTCACTTTTTGGGTCAAACTGGACAAAATTACACTGAAATCTGAAATGTTTTCAACGTAATAATAAAAATTATAAGCAGTAGTCTCACGAAGACAAAATGTGTTTAGTCCATATTTTAGTTTCTGTTCATCTTGCGCAGCCTTTTTAAAGTTTTTGTGTTTTTCTGACTTACAGGATCTTTGGCACTTTTGTCACAAACAGAAACATGCGAGTTATAAGCTTTCTGCCCTCCACCTGGAAGCCGGGTGGCAGGAAGGACATTTATTTTATGGTTGGTAGATAAAGCCTTTCCATATCTGTTCTGTGTGTGAACGGGTAAAAACCAGCCAGGAGGCAGAAGATCCACACTGAGATGAATCAATGAAAAGCTGCCACATTCCCTGCATCACACAGTTTATTTAAATATTGATCAATCGACAGCAGCCCCACCGAACGCCCCGGACACAGCAGAACAGAAGTGAACACATCCAGGAGAAAGAGGACAGTTGGTGAAACACTTTGAAAATATTTAGAATAACAAGAAACCAAAAACAATATAAAACCCTGAGGGGCCAATGAAGACTGGCCAGTTCAACCAATGAGGGACAAGATGTTAGTTAGTTAGTTAGTTAGTTAGTTAGTTAGTTAGTTAGTTAGTTAGTTAGTTAATCTAATCCAGATTTCATTTCTGCTTTTAAGTTACAGTCCAAATGTATTTGTTCCTCATTATTATTATTAAAGAAATGTCTTCTTACTGAATTCAAAAGAAGAAGGGAACATGTCTTCGTCCCAACAGGCCTTCAGCAGGTGACACCTCTTTCCTGTGGAGCAATTACACGTCTCCGCCTTGCGTTGCCTGAGCTAAGCCGTCTGGCGGACATATTTCACCATATTACTCTGTGTTGCAGGAGAATTGAGCCAAAGCGTGAAAAGAAGAAAAGCGCTGCAGCGACTAACTTTGGTGGACTCGCAGAACGACAGCTTAAACGTGTGAGTGGGGTGTTTTATGACTCCTTCACTGAACTGGAACTGTATTCACAAGAGGGCCCGTCTCTTTCACATTCTCATGCTGTATGCATGCTGTCATGGCTGACGATAAGGCCGGCCTATTAGCATGCAGGGCATTATCTGCTCAGAAGTGCTGTAAAATTCCACCACTATATTTTTAGAAGCGGTTTCATTAAGGAGAGGCTGCATACACCCAGCATACATCTGTGAGGAAACGCTGCCTGACGCTGTGATGCTGCTCACCTGATCTATAACCACTGAGTCGTTCTAATCACAGGGGCTGAGGCTGACCCGTCATCTTCTGCTAAGCAGGCTGGAGTTATTGAACCCATTCAGAGTGTTTAATCCTGAGACATTGCATTGCTTTCAGTTAGCCATGAATGAATGAATGAATGATATCTCTGCTTTGCATTAAAGTGAATGAAAGTGTGTGTCATCTATTCAGGAGTAGTCAGCACAAGACACTGATGTGCACAGGTTGAATCTTTGTTCTCCTGGACAGAATGAGCTTATCTGAGGATCATTTGCTTATCTTGAGCTAGTAAAGGTTTTAAACCTGCAGCAATATCAGTTATCCCAAAACTGGATTAGAGTCAGAGACAGAGAGAGACAGAGAGAGAGGAGAGAGAGAGAGAGAGAGAGAGAGAGATGGCACCAGGGAGAAAGGAGTCAACATGAGCAGGGCAAAGAACGACTAAAAGCAAAAAACAAATGAAATAGGATGTAAAATAACTGAGAGCATCCAGATTAAAGTAAAGCAGAAACAAGCTGATCTAATTAAAACAAGAAAAACTCCAGTAAAATAAATTAATAATGTTACAAACCCAGAAAAATACAAACAGGATCCCAAAATCCGAATAATATTGAGATCTATGTCCCAAATGACAAAAAAAGAACATTTTGAGATACAGTAATCATCATGGCCTCTGCGTTTCTGGTCTCACTCTGTAACTCCTGCCCAGCAGTGACCTCACCAGTCTCAGCTCTGTGCCTTGCTGTGTTGGGGGGTCATTTGGGGTCATTTGGGCTCTTTTAGATGCTGCAGAGTGCTCACACGACCTGGGCTGTCTGGGACACGCAGCGCTTCTGAGCTGTATAAATTACAGAAGACACATTGCCAGCTTGGCCATTAGGCCCATCAGACTTGCTCTCTGGGTTCATTTCCTCTAACTGCGCCTCTACTGTCACATTCAGCAATAAAAGCTGGCACTGAGTGCCTGAAAGGTGTTTCAACCCCATGATTAGAACATAAAGCTGGTTCTTCTTATGCATTCAATTAACTCTTTATTGAATGCATGCAGCTTCCTGAGGCTAAAATGACACAAACAATCCTTTATGTAACTTTCCATTTGGTGAGTAAAGACGTTTTTCCCCAGATGTTTTGATTTTCTCAAACATTTACACCAAGCATAAAATGACAGGTGTGATGGGAATAGCAGACATGGAGCCTGGAAACATCATCATCTGGTGAATTTTGTCTGTTTCTTCAACCAGACAATCACATTACTGTCGCAGTGTGTGTATTTTTTAAAAGGGGAGCCAGCCCATGTATCCCTACTCACAACTCGGATTTTCAGTTATTTTTAGTGAGTATTCTTTGTAATACAAGCAACATACACTTCAAAGGTGGTGACTCTTCAGCACAATAAATGACAACAAATATGTTTTCCTGTACATGCCTAAAAATAATTCACATAAATTCCTTTCAGCATTGTGTTTTATTTTTTTTTACATTAGCAAATAAATACAATCTCTATGTCCTATGTACCACCAACCAGTGTTGTATAGTAACGAAGTGAAAATACCTCACCACTTGTTAGAATGACCCTTAGCGGCAGGCTTTAAAAGAGGAGTCTTGAGGCGGAGAGATGCAGTGCAGACCAACCAGGTGTTTAATCACCAACATTTAAACAAACAATCCTGCATACAAAGGGGTAAAATGCATTCCCGCAGCAGCCACACCCACATGTGGGCAACCTGTCGGCTTTTATAGTCCCTGACTGCACCAATTCACAGCCCCCAAAAAGCAGGATAAAACAAAATACATATACACAAATACATCTTCAACATAATATTAAACACTTCATTTCATAGCAATCATTTGATTTCTAAAAATACTCTTATAAATATCAATCCAATTAGTAAATTCTAAAAGTCACAGTGCTTTGCTCCCCCTCTATATTTGGTCTGTCCCAGAACCCTCATAAGGAAAGAACTGAGTAATCGATTAAAACATTTAAAACATTTAAACTGTCTTCCTACATGTAATGAAGACCTTCATTACACTACTTTACGAAAGTATATTTTGGAGTACTTCATACTTTCCTGGAGTATGGACATTTTTTGATAACTTTCACTTTTACTTCACTATATTTCTGAACTCAATTGCATACTTTTACTCCGATACATTTTCAATGTGTGGTTTAGTTACTCCCTTTTCCTCAAGGTGTCGGAGTTTCACTCAGGGAGAGTCAACAAATTTTACATCCAAACTCCTGATAAACTAATGAAAATAGACCAACTGACACAAAATTCATGCAGTTAAACGAGACACACTGTTCTCTAGTGAATTTTTAGTCAGACTCAATGTTTTCAGTAATTATGATCTTAAAAAGTAGATATTTTGGATGGCCTAAAAAATTATTTTTAATATCTCGAAAACCAAAGCTGCACAAACTTTGCACTAACCAATCAGACAATTTGCTGGATTATTTGAGTAGGTGGGGTTTAGCTTCATGGAGGTCTGCTTCGCTTCTCCCATTAAACACCAAGTTAACTAAAAAGCTCTCCTCTTTAGATGCCAATAAGCTGCATTTCCCTCCCAATTATTTGTTTCTTTTGCATAATGACCAGTTGTTGCACCTATACTGTGTGAAGTAGAGGAATCCTAACGTGTTTTTTCTCTTCATGTTGGCCGCATTTTCTGTACCGACTATTTATTTTTCTCATTTTCAGCACTGACCTTACTGAAAGGGAAAACTTCAGGCTTATAGAAACTTTGTATTTTCTGTCCTGGAGGGTTTGCTAAGAAGCTGGTTCAGTTGTAAAGCAGGTTAAGTTAACCTAAAGCAGGTTAAGTTAACCTAAAGCAGGTTAAGTTAACCTGCACCTAATGTTCTTAACTAAATGATGCTGCAGGTTTATCTATTAGCAGGTTTCATTTTGCCTGCACTTGGTTCTGTTCATTATTTTAAGTGTATTTAACAAGTTTACCAAAATATAAAAAATGTCATTCAAACTGCATTTGCCTTGTTTTACTTTTCTCTTTTCATTACATTACTTGAGTTTCATCCATTTTTACAGTAATTTCCAGACTTAAGTACAAGAACTTTCAGATACTTTAATACTTTAACTCAAGTAACATTTCAGTGACTTTTACTTTTACCAAAGTCATATTTTGGAGCGGTACCGATACTTTTACTGGACTCTGCCACTAACCCTGCCCCACCACTAAGCTGCTCACGTTCACAAAAAAGAAACAAAAACAGGAGATCACGTGATAACTGATGTCACACTTCCCAGGACTTCCGGCTAAATATGGAGGACCTGGCGCACAGAAGTAAACGGATCTTAAGTTTTTATGGCTCCACTTGTTAATGTCCTAATGAAATAATGAAAAACAGACTTCAGCCTCGATGGAAGACCTTGAGCGCCATGAAAAAGGCCATTTTAAATATGTTTAGGAGATAGGTGTTTTTATACATGTTTAGATTTTACGGTTTTTTATACTTGTTCTTGTTTAGTTGTCAGTTGTTTTTATAATTTGTTCCTGGTTAGTTGTTCGGTCTTTTTATACTTGTTCTTTTTTAGCCTTTTTTATACTTGTTCTTGTTTAGTTATTAGGTCTTTTTTATACTTGTTCCTGATTAGTTATTCGGTCATTTTATACTTGTTCTTTTTTTAGTTATTAGGTCTTTTTATACTTGTTATTGATTAGTTTGGTCTTTTTATACTTGTAACCATTAAAAAAAATATCCTCTTCAGTTCAACCTTATGACTGGAGATATATTGTTGATTTTACCATTATAAAATAACTTGTAATTAAGTATTCGGTAAGATCAATGTCTTTTGCACAGGTGGTGGAGCGTTCTGAAAACAATATTTAAAATACAAAAAGGGACATACCATGTGACGTAACACGTTATGTAGCCATTTCTTTACTGTTTAATTTGTTATTTTAAATGTTGAAAGTGTTCTTGGGTGTTTTGAAAGGCGTTGTCAAATACAATGCGTTATTATTACAATTATTAAAACGCGGCAAGCACAGAAAATAGTGTCACTAGCGCCCCCTTCATTTCCGGAATGCAATAGTCCCATTTCCATATAAGGTATGAGACTGACAGCGGGCCGCCCCGCCCTTTTGCTGCAGAGGTGAAAAGTTAGCAGTCTGAGCTAATGGGGAGTTTACGTTGTCCGCCATTATGAATCTGTAGCCCATGTTACTAAAGTACATTAAAAGAAGCTAAGAAATGTCTCATGATCAGTGAACTCTTCCGGGAATGACGTCACTGAGTGCCGCTACGTTAGACTCAGCGGTAAACTTTGCAATTTTCCAGTTTATAGCAGTGTTTGATTCAGTTCAGCTGTTTAAAATCATTTGTTGTGGCGCTGTTACCGCTACAGCGGAACTCCATTGAGAATTTTTTTTTCAAAATTCAAACTTAATTTAAACCTTTATGATTAAATTTCACTAGATGACGTCACACCCATTAATTTACAAAGATATGTCGTTTCATTCGGCTATAATACCTAATTGATTTAGTATTTTAATTTTGTACTTTTTGACTTAATTTTGTGATTGTCATGCTAACCGGAAGTAGCATGTTTGAATATAACTGCGCAGTTAAATGTATTAGTTTTCCTAAAGAATACTGCATTGAAAGCCCCATATGACTTCTGAACTGCTTGTTTAGTTATTTAGAGTGTATTGCATTAATGTTTACAGTAAACTGATATGAATTAATGATTGAATTTGAATTGTTATTGATTGTGTTCTGGCCCTTTTGCAGGTCAGGGATTTTTTCTACATTCAAACGAAAACCGAACAGAACTGAACTGACCCAATGGTGACCTGGTAGGCCTTTTTCTTCCCTTTTGCTGTTTTTCCCCCGGATTGTATACCGAACTATAATTTTGGAAACAAAGAAAAGAGAGATTTTCAACTGGAATCTAGGATTATATAAGCGTTGAACAGTAATTGTTTTTAATTGCGTAACAAGAGCATACTGTTAAATCTGTCTGTCTGTTTATCTGTTATTGGTGTATTTTTATTTATTCACAATACACTTTTCAATTTCTGCACTCTTTATTGGTCATTATTGACTTTAATCAGGCTCCATAAAGAACTGTTCTTTTGCGTTGCGGTTATTTGTGTTCATTAAGCTTTTTGTTTTCCATTAGCCCAAGTAAAACTAATAAATAATGGTTTACACATTATAAATACCATGAGGACACAGAAGGCAGCTTAATCCCTCAACAGTTACCATACTGCAGTGAAATATGCTGGTGGTATGAACACTATAACTTCTCTGTTCATTTTGGCTTTATTAACACACAAATACTTTCATCAGGTTGTGTTCTTTGCTCAAGCAAATATTTTCCCAACTAATTTAACACGTCGATAGACAGACTGCAGTGATTTAAGAGCAAACACAAGTCCAGTATTTGAACTGGTCCATCAATCGGTGCTTAGCAAGAGGAAAGCTGTTCACAGTCTGAGTTGCTCTCATTGTATTGAAAACATACAAGTATAGATATGTGTACTAGTGAGGCAGGCATTCAAACTCCTGTCATCCCTTTTTTTCTCACGTGCTTTATGAATGTAGTTGGAATTTCATAGGCCAATTGAAAGAATTTTCAACATTAGTTTAAGCTACTATGTGCTACTGTCATTATTTCCTTACTTTTATTTATGTGTTAAGGTTTTATCGGCTCTGTTGGCCTTTACTTGATAGTGAATTGACATGAAAGTGGGTAATGAAGGGAAGACAAAAGTCTCCTGGCCGGGAGTCTAAGTGCTTAACTCCTGCACCATCACAGCGCCCCCTATTCTCCTTATTTTTATTAAATATGTGACAGAAACCTGGAGTATTGAAAGACTTGCTTTAGGTCACCAGTAGGGGGCAGTGTAGGTGAGAGACCCTGGCTGTAAGGCAGCGGTGAACCGTCACCTGGTCACAATTCAGTATTCATGGATTCACTCATTTGCAGTTTTTTCTGTTAAACTAACTAAATAATTTGCAACAGACCAGACCAGCAGTGTAGGTTCAGACAACTTACATTCTTAAATTTAAGTTAAATTGTAGTTCTAAGCATATTTAGATTATTTTTAGTCACTTGTTGATTTTCGATAACAAAGCAAAGCTGTCATAGAGACAGTAGGACAGCCAATAGCTGCTTTTGCAAAGTATGTCTATGACTGATCGGTTTAACCAATTAATCCATATGGTAGAGAATATGGAGATTAAGAGATTAATGAATGTTTAACATGAGTTTGTAGGTTTATCTAAGAGTTATAATGTTGCTGTTCTTATCTGCTGTATTCTTTCTCTTTCCCTAACGGTGCAGTCTAATCCTGTTTGGACTCACAACAGTTCCTTGGCCGTCCCTCCCTGCCCCGCCCTGGGTGAGTGGTGTACATGTGTAATGTGTGCTGCTCAGGGTTTTCCGTCTGTCAGCGCGTCCTCTGCTGTGAGCAATGAGCTGCCCTGTAACTTGATTTGCGGTCCGCTCTCGGTCTCCCAGGCCGACACACCAGCAGCGTGTTCATGTCCGGTGCGTGTTGGACTCTGTATATTGTGATAAATTGAATGGCACTGTCCAGTGTTTGCCCTGTGGGCAGCAATTACCTTTTACATGATTCGCATGGAGCAGCTAATGGATGTGTGTAAGATGCATTAATGCAGCTCACAGTGCTGCGTTTCATTGTTTCACAAAGGAACATATTTCTGACTATACACTGACTTTATTTTCATTTTCCTGCTTCATCTGTTGACCAGTGCTGTGCTTTTTCTATTAGATATTTCTGTAAACTGAGGCCAACGTTTACTTTTTCTTAATTTATTCATTTTCAACAATAAGAAACAATTTTCAGTTTTTCATGTTTTCATGTTTTCTTGAAAATCGACTACATAAGTGGACCTTTTCTCTGTTCTGCTCTTTGAGACCAAAGTGAAAACATTTCCCAGTAAAGTCAAGCTTCTATGTGTGAATGTATTCATTCTGACGGGCTTACGCATGCGTCTGTACTCATATGCATGTCTGTTTCAGTAATCATCCTGTCAGTGTCATATAGAAATGAGCCTCCTGGGATAACAGGAGGAATCTGAACATGAATGATAAGCACATGTTAGAGGCGTAGAGAGAGGAAGAACCCAAAGGAATCCTATCAGACGTGTTGTGAGGCTGAAATGGATAATGAATCCGTTAAACCCTCACTCTGCTCCTCCTGTTGGATTATTTAATGCCTCAGTGAACAGACCAACACAAACACATCAACTACCTTAATCTGGGTCGACTTCTCTGCAAATGTTTTGTGTTATAAATGATCATATCACAATGAGGATATTACTTACCTCTTCACACTGGAGAAAGAAAACGGTAATTACAGTAAATTACGCGTCATTGTTGTTGGCAGTCCTGCATTAATATTTCACCCCTGGCAGGAACCTGGAGGTTTTTACCATCGTCTCAGTGACAGCGCAGCAGGTCCAGTGAATCTGCAGCAGAAAATGAGCAAACAGCAGGTTTTCCTCAGGCTAACTGATCTGAGTCAGGCCTGTGCTGTTTGTTCCTTTAGATTCATTCTTCAGATCAACAAAAACAACGCAGTGTTAGTCATTCTCCAAGATTTCAGAGAATTTTTCTTCCTGAGTGAAGTTTAAAGTCAAGGATCAATATTTTAACCTTGACCAAATAGACTGATTTACTGATTACTGATAGATTGCTTCTGGATTATTTGGAAAAAGAGAAACAGTGGAGAGGACCAGCAGCTGATTAAACAGCCAATCAGATCTGACGTTCCAGTCAAGGTGACGCCTGTCAGCCATAAACAGCAGAGCTAACATTAGCGTAGCTTCTTATGACCCGTTTGCCGGTTCTGACCCAGATCAATTAGCAGCAGGAGACATGAAGTCTGGAACATGACGCTGATCTGACTGTGAAATAATCCTCTGAATGAAAACAATGCAGCAAAGCAGAAAGTTTCTGCTCTTCTGCTCCAGAGGGTGGAACAAGCAGTCATTGGATTTATTGGGCCGGTTGGTGTGGATAGATGCTTTTCCTTTTAAAAATGAATTTGAAAAGCACTTCCTGAGCTCATCTTCGTGTAATCTGAAAGATATAAATGTGAGAAAAATTCTAAATCACATTTCTCTTCTTGAAGTCGTGGCTCAGTATTCTGGTCATAACTGCCATGTGTTTCCTTCACTGCCTGTTGCAGCTGTTATTAGCTGTGGTTTCTGCAGCGTCCAGGATGAAATCCTGATCTGAATCTTTCTGGATCTCCTGGGTGGATCTCTGGTTTCTCCAACAGCCAAATAAGCGCTGTGGCTTCATTTGTCTCTAAACCTGCGTTGGGTGTCGGAGTGTGTCCAGGGTGTTTCTGCTGATGGATGGTGCCTTGCCTCTTCCCTAATGGAGACAGACATCAGCTAAAAGTGGTACAGACTATGGCTGATTACGATCCAATGCAGTTTACTTTATGAGGAAAGTGACACATTGTTTTCATATTTTAAGGGTTTCTTCAGATTTCTACCCTCAGATGAGAGAGATGTAACAGAAAGTGTGTTATACTGAGAGACATCTTGTTCTCTGTCCTCAGTGACACGATATTATGATGATCATTTCAGTTTTTCTCTCCTCTTCTGTCGCTGCATGCTCTTTTTTCCTCTGCTGAACTAGGACAAGGACACGGAGACAAAGCAGTACATATTACTGAACACACACACACACACACACACACACACACACACACACACACACACACACACACACACACACACACACACACACACACACACACACACACCACAGCATCCTGCAGGAAGGGGCTGGGAGATGAGAGAATCCAGTCATTTTGTTACAGCAGCATCCTGTTTTATTAAACAAGAGCAAATCATCCAAATGGTGCAGAATGCAAGGACAAAGAATTCCTGCATCATGGCTGCCGTCACATTTTAGAGCCATCAGAGCAGCAGTGAGCGAAACATCAGTGAAAGGATACACATATTGAAGAATGCATGAGAATTTTTTTCTGATCATTTTAGCTGAATAAGATGGTTGAAACACTACAATGTTTCTGTATATTGATTCTGTTTAGGCAGATGGAATTATGAAATCTTTAATATCTTATTTAAATGCCAAATTTGTTGTTCAACAAAGTATTTATTGGCAGGATGATTTGAAGCTGTGCATGTCATTGTATTATCAGTTATGGTCCTCTTAAAAATGGCAAAATGGCCGACCTGTGCACAAGCGGCTGAACTTTGTCTCTGCTGCCCACGCAGACTCAGCTGTCACTCAGCGCTCACCTTCAGGGAAAAAACTTTTTTTCAGCCTCAAGCAGAAAGAAATGTGTTCCTTTCTGCAAGTTTTCTTTTTGGGGCTAAACTAAAGAAATGTTTGTTTAAAATACTTTAAATTCCTATTTTTACAGTGAATCAGTTATTTTAGTGGAACGTAAAATATTTACAGGCTGCCTGTGATTTAGTATTTATGTCTGAGTTTTTCTTTTTGAAGCTTTTGATCCATTCAAGTCAAATCAGCCAAGAAAAAACCCAAAACCTTTTTCCTGTTGATGTCAGAAGCCTCTCAGTGTGATGAAAGAAGAGACTTCAGAACCTGGTTGTACGGAATGCAAAACGGGTCAAAACCCGTAAACTCCACTAGTTAAAATACAAAGACAAACTTTTCATTGGAAGAAAAATTAAATATCTTTTAATGAGTACAAACCTTGAAATAAGTGAAAATTATTACTGTGTAGAATGAAAACGAGGAATTAATCTCCTTTGTAAAATTATAATGTGGTAAAGTATGACTTAAAACGACAACAAAACATTATTTTTTTTTTGCTCAGCAGTAAACCGGCTGACCAAACGTTCTGGAGTTACGTTGTGGCTGCTAGGTATCGGGCTGGGGTTCCTAGGTGAGGGATAGTGGTCGCTAATTTGTGACGTTACATGCAGGAGCTCATTTTCCAGTTACAAAAAAAGCCTTAAAGGGACAGTTTGATTTGTCTTCCAGGCACACGGCGGCCATTTTACAGCACAATCCAATAACTGTGTTTCTTTTAGTTGTTAGAAAAATGCTATAAATCTTAAATATGTCTTCAATAAATCTCATGATTAAACGCCTTGAAATTGGGCCTCTGTCTCTTTAAGAAGCTCCGCCTTCAGATAGTCATCACAACATGGCTCCAGTATTTAACCCTTTAGCAGCATTTTTACCAGCTGCTCCACAGAGTGAAGTTTAACATCTTGGCTTCAGTTTTATTGTTGAGTTTTGCTGAATTTTGAGAAACTTCATTGAGAAAGTGATACAATGCAGTGCAAACAGACTTCAAAATAAGAGCATCAATATAAATAACTACCTGAAAATCTTTTAACTGTTGAAAAATAAAACTTGAACTGAGATATCAAACATCTGGTTCAACTTGAATTCATCGAGTCGTATTGATCTTGGGGAAGCTAAGCTAATAGTATCAAAGTCATTTGAAAAAAAGTGGTATAATTGACCACATTTTTTCCTTCCACTCAATTTTCACAAACTGAAATTTGTTTGTCTATGAAATTTGTTTCCATATGTTTATGGAAGGTGCCAGATCTGAACAAGTTGAGACGCAACCTGGAATCCACACAGAGTCAGCTCACACGTATGTTCGCCCACTGCAGCCTCACACCAGGCTGGAGGAGCAGAACTCCGCCTCTGCAGCTCAACGATGCTGCAGCTCAGCGATGCTGCAGCTCGCTCAGCGATGCTGCAGCGTGTGCCGTGATAAATTCATCACAGCGGCGCGGCGGCGGCCACACGCCGCCGCGCTCGGCCCCATCACTGTCTGTTAGCTGAACATGGGAAAGAGCAGAGCTGGTGGAAGATTTAAATATCTCGCCTGAGATGAAATCAGAGATGGAAAGAGGAAGACGGAGGGTGAGTCGGCAAATGAATGGGAAGGAAGGGAAGTTTGTGTCTGATCAGGTCTGTAAAGTTCAGAAACAGGAACCTCAGAAAATTACATTCAAAATGATTTATTATTATAAAGCAAAGCAAGTTTCCCTCACATCATCTCTTATCTAGTTTTTATGCTTTATTGCAGTAAGATTGCAATAATTATCTAATCACTGTAGCTCTCTGAGTTTCATGTACAGCTTAGTTGAAATATGAATATTTTATCTTAATATTGTCAAATGTTATTTAAAATAAGCAAATGACATTAATGTTTTACAGAAGTAATATTTTGTAAAAAATATAATTCTAGAGTTTTAGTTAGCAAAAGTTTTTTATTAATATACGAGTCCAGAGTTTCAATCCTGTGATTTTTATTTTTGAATTTGTGGCCAAGAAAGATGACCTTCATAAATGCTCTATTAAAAGCATGACCTGAAAACAGTCCAGTTTATCTAGTGTGTGTTTTGTGACCTGCGTGTTGGACCGGCGTGTTGGACCGGCGTGTTGGACCTGCGTGTTGGACCTGCGTGTTGGACCGGCGTGTTGGACCGTGTTGGACCGGCGTGTTGGACCGTGTTGGACCGTGTTGGACCGGCTCGGTCGCGTTGGTTCTGATGTTTGTGGCTTTTTGGTTCTCTGAGGTCGAGGCGTCTCATGTTTGGATGATTCTCTCTGGTTCTGGATGTTGACGGTTTTCTGCTCTGGCACTTTTTAGGATGTGTAACCATGGCAATGGGATTTTACTCCTCTGATTAGCATCTCCAGAAGAGCTGAACTTTGAAAAAGAGGCTTGCTGTTTGCAGAGAGGAGGAAGTTGCAGCCGTCTCTTCCATCCATCATCCAGAACCATCGGATTGCGACTCCACACAGACACAGATTTGAAAAGGAGCAGCAAAATCAAATGAAGCGGATTAGCAGAGTTGAACTGATGGTGTCATCCAGGACACGTTGGTGTAGAATGTCGTTTCTGCTGCTCAGTTATTTAGCCGTTAGCATGTCAGATCAGTCCTGATTCTGAGACTCACTGTCAGAAAAGTCATGTTTGGTTTCCGTTTCCACAAAAACCATGTGACACTTTTTTATATACCTTAATCACTATGATATGGACATATCTGTACATAAATAAAATATTCATAAAGGTCAAAACACCCTCTGACAAGCAGCCAGTATTTAATTTCTGTTTTAGTCAGAGGCTGTTAAAGGTCCCTGCTGGTTCTCATGCTCCTCATGGACAGATGATTCTTTTTGCACCAGCTGCAGTTTAAGAAAGTCATCTTTTAAATCTCCAGAAGAAGATGCATTAAACCACAGAAGACTTGATTCATAAAACATTTCCATCTTAAGAGCCATTGTGTGACTGTGCAGGGAGCTCAGAATGGCGCCGACTGATTCCACACCTTTCATGCAACACAGGACACCAGCACCTACTTTAAAACAGCACCTGGTCGCCTCACCGCCTCGCTTCAGCATGCTTTCAGACAGCCTTCCTGCCCAACACACTTTTAATGGTCCCTGCTGGAGTGGAAAGACCCCTGACATGCTGACAGCAGGCACATGGTGCTCTTCCCCCACGGACATCCTCTCACTGTCACAACAGCTCTGCAGCGCAGCAATGTAACCTTACAGGACAGATATAGATGCATGTGCATTTAGAAAGTCCATTTTTACCAGTCGCATGCCACCATGCATGCATCTGTTCTGCATGGCAAACACAAACACGCACACCCTGACAGTTTGACCTAAACAGGATGAAAACTCTTCACAGTGCAGTAATTATAGCAACACTGCAGAAACGTGTGGAATCTGTGAGCCGCTCAGAAATCACTCAGAATTTACCTTCACTGCTGACGAGCTCTGAGAACCAACCTGGAAAGTAGGCCAACGAATGACAAGCTGCATTTTCTCTGCTTCTACCTGAGAGTGAATGTAGGAACAGAGGACACACACACACACACACACACACACACACACACACACACACACACACACACACACACACAGAACACACACACACACACACACACACACACACACACACACACACACACACACAGAACACACACACACGCACGAACCAAAACTGCTGACTTCCAGGTCTTATACCTCTGTTCACTTTCAATTAAAATCGTGTGTGTGTGTGTGTGTGTGTGTGTGTGTGTGTGTGTGTGTGTGTGTGTGTGTGTGTGTGTGTGTGTGTGTTTGATGCTTCTAACCAAAACTGACCTTTATGTTTGGGAGATGAAAATATAACAGGACAGAAACCCAAATGAGAATAACAATGTTTGGTCTTTATTTTTGCTGCATGTGACTGAAACTTCTGACCAATCAGGTTTGTCTCTGAATTATCATCATCCAGTGATTTTAGTCATTCAGTTCTGAACTGCATTCCATAGCAGGTGTGTTTAAATTCAGGCCTGCATCCTCTGAAGGAATCCCGCTTTGCCCGTCATGTTACATGGACAAACATCCCCCTGCAATGCATCTTGGGATACGGTGGCCATAACCGAAGAGAAGAGGAATGCTGTTGGAGGAGCCTGAGAGTTCAGACGACCTTCATCGTATCACTGCGGTGTGAATTTGGCCACATGTATAAATTCATTGACTGAGTCTGAAACACATCTTACCAAGTGTTCATTATTGGTTGAGCGTTCTGGCTTACAGCCAATGAGAGGAAATTATTCCTAAAATGTAAAAATATTCCATCAGACCAATGAAAAATGAATGATTTCCACAGAAATGTTCCCCTGCTGGACGGCGTGTTCCTGGTTCCTGGTCTGGGCTCCTTGTGCATGAACACTGGATCGATGCAGCATGGAGGAGACCGGGCTGTTCAGGAGACAGGTCCGTTTTTATCACCTGTAGGTCATAATCAGAACGACAAACACACATAAACCTCTTTAATAACAAATCAATTTGGCATTGTAGATTTAGGTCATGATAACCCAAAGTGCTTCACCAGAAGGTCATTTCAGCTCTTTCATCCTTTTTAAAGATGTTTTCATCCAAACAACCTGAACAGAAAAGCAACGAATCAAGAATGAAAGAAATGTTAGAAAACTAAAACAAGTGGAAACTGCAGAGCAAGATTAGATTTGATCCCTTAAATAAGGGCACAGGAGGGATTTGGTTTAATACTATCTGACAAATCCGTGCTGTGGCCTCCTGAGGAACGTTTGACCTCGTCAGCCGTCAGCATCGATACGTCAGGGTGAAGCTATAGTGACGGGACAGAAGCTGGAAATGAAGAGCTGTTCATTCTTCAGGCTTTCTGTGGCGCAGTCACAGTTTGTGCCACGAGTGGATTGTGTTATTTCACAGCCTGGCAGGAGATTGGATTAAATGTCATATGTAATATGATAAGATTGAACTAAATACTTCCTTTGGGGTTTGGTCTTATTTTTTTTCTATCGTACATATTTATGCTCATTTGAGAAATCTGAATAGGTTTTTGTAGACTTACTATATATTCCATGTTTCATCTAATCCACACATCCTTCAAATCCTATACGCAGGTTCAAGTATATTTATAACCAGACTAAAACCTGGGCAGGCAGATCTGACCTCACGCTTCTGCCATCGTTCTGGCTGGTTTTGGACCAGCTTGGTTCTGGAGGCGACATGCGTCCACAAACCCACTGGTAGCAAGATTTCAACTTTAAGTTGAACTTTGGTAACGATTACGGCACACTCAGCTCTTCAATGAATTTTTCTGGATTAAATTTACTTCACTGGTTTGTAAATGTTCAGACACAGGAGAGTCAAACTTTATGTGTTGAAGTTTTAAATATCAACTGTTAAAAATTCAGGTTTACAGTCATGCTCTTATTTTGAAGGGTGAAGAAGAAGAGGAATCAACATGGCTGAATTTAGCATGTTAGCATTAGCTTCCACTAATTTCTGTCATGGAATAGTGCTTTTGTGTTAGCCAAACTAATATTTATGATTAGTACATTAGAGTTTGTGCAACTAACTTTCCAGTTGGCGCTGAAGAGTTGAGACTGTTTGATTTCCTGGTACAGAAATGACTTCACACATGAACACATTTCTGACAGCTTAGCTGGAAAGAAGTCTGTTCGTTCTTCAAGCTAGATGTTGTTCTGCTTTTCCATCCATCCATTGTTTGTACCTGGTTCTCATGCAGCCACGCAGGAGAAGCTGCTTCAAAGTGAGGTTAGATGGATGTTTAGGGAAATAAAACGTTGAAAAAACGTAACTGGGTTTAAGTTTCCACCATCTAACTGCTGATTCTTGGTAAAGTTGGACGAGTTTCCTGGGATCCTCCATCTTCATTAATGCTCTGATGACACCTGCAGTAAAACTGGCCCATTTTATCCAAGTGAAGGCGTCATGCATGGCAGTCGGTGCGCTGCTTCTATATTCATCTTTACCATCTTCATTTGTAAAACCTTCTAGATGAAGAAATGTTAATCTAACCTGGAAAATTAAATCTGTTGGGGTTTGCATGAACTTACATTCACACCATATCAATGTGGCACACACACACACACACACACACACACCCACACACACACACACCCACACACACACACACACACACACACACACACACACACACACACACACACACACACACACACACACACACACACACACACACACACACACACACACACACTCGCCAGCCCGAATATCCTGACTCATTCCAGTAAAGTGTGCCATGTGAGGATCTTCTGGGATAAAAACAGAACGCCTGTCGGATCCGTTTCTGCTTACAGCAGCAGCATCTTTTCCTCACCTAAAGCTGCCGTCCGTTTATCAAAACTGTGTTAATTGTGCTGCTACTTGCTAATTGGCGTCAGTTTAACTTGCAGCTGTTATGACACAGTGATTCACCCAACGCTGCTGCACCACAGGAGCCTAAATACGACGTGAAAAAAGCAACATCCTTCAGGCTTCACAGTGTTTCTCCAATATGGCAGCCAAGGAATCTTTCCTTTACGCTTTAATGTATTCTGCAGTTTTAGACAGAAATTGTGCTCATCACCAGCAGTGAGCTCTGCTGCCTGCTAACATTATTCTAACATTATGCAAATGAGAGTGAAGGCCAGCTCTGCCGAGTCCACCGGTGAAGTTTAGCACAGCTTTCACATTCTTAGAAAGTATTATGTTTTACATCCTTCATGTACAAATTAACATTTCACAAACATGCTGGACAGAAATGTTCAAACTTGCATTAATCAGACATGAAGTGAGAATATGAACCTGCTGTGACTGTTGGTGTAACAGAACCAGTCAGCTGTCAGTCCGTTAACCAGCAGAGGTTCTGAAGCGGTTCTGAAGTTCCAGCCATCTGTCCTGATCCTGTTTGGGTTTCTGTGCGTCTGCTCTGTCTTTCTGGCTTCATTCTGTTAATTCTGTATTTTTCCTCTAGGAAATGATGCTGATTTCAGCGACACAAGAGACAGAAGAAGTTTGTGCTGCTTTACCACAGTATTTATCCTGATAGTTCAGGATAAATACTATAATGTTATCTGAAAAAATGCAGACAAATCTGCAAATAAAGCCCAGTTTAAATATCAGAATGGATTCTAAACAAAACTCCTGTATTTAAATGAATTTGATCAGATATTTTGAATGGTGAGTTTGGCTCACAGTGCTGACATGTTCATGAAAGGCTTTTACTTAAATACTTTGAACTGAAAGATGCTGTTTTTTACATGATGCACTTGAAGTAAGCACAGCTCAGACCGGAGCCACTGAACGCTGCGCCATGAGAGAAACAGACTTTTAAATATTACATTGAGAAATATGAACAAATGGATTTTTTGTCTCCTTGATTTTGTTGTTTTTGGTGATTTTGCAGAGTCTGCAGCTGAACTCAATATGTTATTGAAGGATTTCTCCCAGACCATCACAATAAAAACCACAATAACAACCTAAATATTCTCTGATAAAATGGGCGACACGTTTACCGGCTGATGGCCCCGTCAGAACCAGAACGTTAGAGAGGAACAGAAACATTTTGGCTTTAGGAGGAAACACCGTTAACATATGTGAACATGAGGTTCGTCCTGTAAACAGGCAACATGCTAACTGGTGATGGAGGCCAAGACCTAAAGACTTTATTTATGACCAAATATTTACATTCAACAATCAGTTCATGAGGGAACAGTAAACTGTGAGCAAATTCATTCATTTGAAACTGAATTGAATTTAAAACTAGTTATTGACCTTTTATAGCCATTTTTTTCTAAACGTTTCTAACTTCGCTGATGTATTCCCAGTGTGAGCAACACGCCCAGCTCACCGACTCTCTGACAGAAAAATGAAGAGAAAAAGAGCTTTAAATAGGAGCTCAGTTTCTCTGTCCTGTCTTCTGGGAATTATTTTCCACTTTGCAGAGGCATGGAGGCTTTTGATAACAAAGATGCCTTCTTAACCCTGGCAGATAATAGGCTGCAAATTGGGTTTAAGTAGTGAAAGTGTTGCTCCGTTTTAACAAGGCGATTCGTCAGTGCAGAAGCTTGGCAGTGGATTCAGAACCAATATGCAGAGCACTTGTGTCCTAAACAGCCAGCAGGCAGAGTGTGAAATAATAATATTATTGTTTAAATAAACTGTTAACAGAGAGGAGGCTTCAGATGGAGGGAACAAAAACAAGAAAAACTGACATGTATTCAATCAGGGTAACAAGATCGAGTCCAAAATACCAGAAATATTAATGAGGAACAGTTAGAAGCAAGAAAACAACAACAGTTCATTCAGTTAACTTGTTTATTCAGTTGCTAATAAACCGTGATGAGGCCTAATGGTCCAATCCAGGATGTTTGAGACATTCATTTGTTTTTGTCCAGGTGTTGACTCATACTGCTGCATTGTCTGCATATATTCATATTCATAGCACCGAAAACTTTACAGTAAGCCTGGAAATGATCCTTCAGGCCTCATGTTGCTGCTAAAACTCTGAACAGGCTGAGTTTTATTTATTTGGTTGTTTTTGGGCGAAATGTCAGAAAATCTGCAAAACTGTGATGTTTTAGCATTTTGTCAGTGTCTGTCAGTGTTGGTTCTTCTTTCCTCCTGGAGAAAGTTGGTTACTTTTGAATTACTCTGATGAATTATATGAATTATGCTCCTGATCCACAGTAGGCGTCGCTGCAGAGATGTTACTCCCCACTGAGCGGGAGCAGAAGAAGTATCCCACAGCAGCCCATCAATGTGAGCAGATCAGATTCTGATGCATAGATTACAATAAAATAGCATCTAGAATCAAACGCAGAAACACATCAGCTCCTCTGGAGGAGATGCTGCCAGGACTCGATGCGCCTGCTGGGTTTCATTTCAGAAACATTTCAGTCTGGACTTGATGCGTGTTTCAAATCAAAGATCAGTTGGTTTGGATGCCGCTGGATTGACTTGACAGCTTGAGATGAAATTTGTTATGAAGTAAAACTGAACTGAATGGAGTTGGATTAGATTTTGTTGAAAATAAATTAGCTTTCTAAAAAATCTGTGTGTAAATATCCATCAAATGAAGAGACTTTTCCTCTTCTTCTGTTCCCAGAGTCCGATGGAGAGTGTTTGGAGGAAGACGCTTCTCCAAATTATAATGAATTTTAAATAACCCATGGGATGCCGTACGTCGCTGGTTCCGTGTTTCCCTCCCTCTGCTTCTCACACAAACCTTCTTCCAGAAGCACAAAAGCGGACCTCTCAATCACTTCCTGTTATCATCAAAGTCATCACTTGAAACCGCAGCGTGCCCAGATCCTTCTCACAAACTCAAAGCTGACTTTGTTCTTTCCTTTCCTGCAGTCGCTCCTTCTGTTCACTCCTGTGATTTAGCTCTCATTGTTTTTGCCAATATCTGAAGA